GAATCCTTTGAAAAGTTCAAAGAGTTCAAACAGGAAGTCGAGAAACAGTTAGGGAGACAAATTAAGGCGCTTCGATCGGATCGAGGTGGCGAGTATCTCTCTGACGAATTCAGGGACTACTTGAAGGTCAACAGGATAGTGTCACAATTAGCTTCTCCTGCTACACATCAATTCAACGGTGTTTCAGAGAGGCGGAATAGGACCTTGTTGGACATGGTCCGGTCACTTCTCGTATGCTCAGAATTACCCACATCCTTTTGGGGATATGCATTAGAGACTACTATCTACGTGCTGAATCCGGTTCTAACCAAATCGGTTTCCGAAAACTCCATATGAACTATGGACCAGAAGGAAGCCAAGTGTAAGACACTTGAAGATTTGGGGTTGTCCTGTTCATGTTAAAAGAACGAGTGCGGACAAGTTGGAATCCAAAACCAGTCGTTGCCTATTTATAGGCTACCCAAAAGATTCGGTAGGTTATCTATTCTATGACCCAAGTGAGCAGAAAGTGTTCTGCGGTCGAAACACCCAATTCTTAGAAACCGAATACATCCTGGACACCCATCCTCAGGAAATAGTTCTTGATGAGGAGAGCTCAGGAGCAGTGGGAGATGTCCCATAAGTTTCAGGTAGTGACCAACCTAGAAGATTCACTCGGGTATCCAGGCCACCAGTCCGATATGGTTATGACCAGGATAGTTTCCTGGTGGAAGCCTTGACTAGTGAGGAGGATCCCGCAACTTACGCGGAAGCAATGTTAGACATGGATTCCCAGAAGTGGGTGGAGGCCATGGGAGCTGAGATGGACTCGATGGAGACCAATGGGGTTTGGACTCTAGTAGATCTGCCCTCCGGGGTAAAAGCAATAGGTTGCAAATGGATCTACAAGAGGAAGAAGGGCTCCGATTGCAGGATTGAGACCTACAAAGCTCGTTTGGTGGCGTTCCTGAATGGAGATCTTGGTGAAGATATCTACATGCAGCAGCCRCAAGGYTTCATTGCTGCTGGTCAGGAACACATGGTATGTAAACTTAATAGATCCATATATGGACTTAAGCAGGCTTCTAGGAGTTGAAACATCCGTTTTGATTCTGCCATCAAAACTTTTGATTTTGAGCAGAATCCGGATAAGCCCTGTGTTTACAGGAAGTTCAGTGGGGATAAGATCACATTTTTAGTGTTGTACGTGGACGATATCCTACTAATTGGGAATGATGTAGGAATGTTGACTTCAGTCAAGGTATGGTTATCATAGCAGTTCTCCATGAAAGATCTTGGAGAAGCTTCATATATACTGGTATTCGACTCTATAGAGATAGATCAAAGCGGATAATTGGATTATCCCAAATTGCTTACATTGACAATATTGTCAAAAGATACAGCATGGAGAACTCCAAGACTGTTACATATCTCTCAGATCTACAAGGAATTTGGATATGCTTATCTCTACTGCTACATATCTCTCAGATCTACAAGGAATGCAGTTTCCATCGACCTCTGACATCGTAGGCCTCTTCTTCGCCTGCTCAACCACGCAAGCCAACCCCATATTGCATGCTACAACAGTTGTAGCATGCAAGAAGAATTGCAACTGCAAGGAACCCCAACGCGTTAAGAAGGTATGGATATCTCACAGTTGGAGATGGAGATGTTAAGAAGGGTAGGCCACGGACGGGGACGGTGACAGAGATGGGGATGAGGGAAGAGGGAGGGAGGAATGAAGATCTCTAAAAATTTCGTGGGTATCAAGTTCTTGATCAGTCCTTTCGGACCCAGAAGCAAAATATCTTGGCGATCAGATCTGTTCTCGGACTATGAACCACTACGGGTTATTCCCAGTTTGAATAGTAAGTTTATAGGATGCAGGGCTCCGCCAACGATCCTAGTGGTAAAAGAACGATGAGACAGTGACGAGGGAAGAAAAACGAGACTAAAGACAACTTAGATTTTCGCTGGATTCAAGAAGGATTAGGAGATCTCTGCCACTACAACTCCATTGTTCTCCTCGATAGAGCGGAGTTGCAGTGGCCTGACGGTGAACTGAAAAAGAAAGAACTTGGCCTAATATTCTCTCTCTCCCCGCCCCCTTCATTCTCTCTCCCTCTCTCTTTGTCTCCTTCGTTCTCTCTCTCGTCCCTGTTTCATCACCGACGCTCCAAGGCTACTGCATTAGCGGCGGACCCTCCACATCCGCTCTCTCTCTCCCTGTCCCCTTCGTTCTTTCTCCCGGCCTCTCTCTCGGTCCACATCCGACCTCTTTCTCTCTCGGTCCTTAAAGTTTCCCTCAAAACTACTCAAATACAGTTCTACGACGTGTGTTTCCTAACCCGCAGTGCAACTTGGATTACATCCTCATAAGCCAGAGGCAGATTTCAGGAGCAAGGTGGTGCTCGACGGAGACGATCAAGAAAGATTTACTCTTTTGAACCTTGCACTATTTGTTGTTGCGGTGATGAAACGAGTTGTAGAGAGAGAGAGGCCGGAGGTGGTGGATGCAACGAAATAGGGGAGAGAACGAATGGTAAGGAGATAGAGTATGAGAAAGATAGTGAAGGGTAAAATTGAATTTTAAAAAATTATAAATCATTTGGTGTAACGTGTGTACGGAATTATATATATATTAAAGCGAAAAGATACTTTCGCCGAATGGAATTTTACGTTCATTTTTATAAATTAAAATTTCTCCGTATTACATGCGAAACAAGTGTCTCTTTCCTCTTCTCTCCCTCTATTTTACATGTATCACACTTGTTTACTTTTCTTTTTTCTACTTCTCTCTCCCGCCATCTTCTCCTTCGATTTTCATTTTTCTGTTCCCACTTTCTTCTCCTCTCTCTTCTGCTCCATCAATTCACTCCTTCTTCTTTTTTATCTACCCTCTTCTGATCCTACAACGGATCATTTGTTTGCCATCATGCGATGGATCATTTGTTTGCCAGTAAATGAATACCTTCTTTTGATCACCAGATCCAATGGACCGTGCATCATCACCGTTACCGTCGTCGTAAGCGCCGTCATCGCCATCGAAATTCATTGCATGACAGACACGTATTCATAATTCTGTCTCCCTTCTCTCAAACTCTCATATCTTTCCTCCTTCGATACTCTCAATGCCTCCCTTTCTCTCCCTCTTTCTCTTGGTTACAAAAGGATCTTTCTCTTGGTTACGAAAGGATTTCGGTTGGATTTGGTGGTGTTAGTGTTTCACTTGGGCAGCTGGTTGGTATTATTGATTGGGATTTTCTATCAACGATGTGGGTGGGGTTTATTGGTAGGTTTTCTCTTTTCTTTTTGTTTTCTTTGTTCCGGCGAGAGAACTCCACTGGAGAACCTGATTTCACCGGGAAGCCTTTTGCCAGCCCTTCCAAGGAGTTGCTCTACTTCTTTTGCTGGAAAAACCAATCTCGCATCGAGCCCGCCGTCCCTCCAACTTCCCTGGCCTCTGATGCGCAGGATGCGACTCCGGAGCTCGTGGACCCGCTGAAATGGCACGGATTATACGGACCATCAAGGGTTTTGTTTACAATCAAGGAAGAAAGAGAAGATGCGGAGTCTCAGAAATCATCGGCGGAGAGGAAGCCGAAGAAGAGGCAGTCTTTGGAAGAATGCTTCGAGGTCACGAATAGCGAAGAACTGGAGGAAATGGTGAAGGTGGAGGTGGAGGTGGAGAGGGGGACACCGTTCACGACGCCTTGTGGTTCGCCTCCTTATTACTTGATAAAGCTTCTCCTGATCGGTGACAGCGGTAAGAGATTCGCTCTTTGCATTCGTCCCTTCCTCTGTAACGCATTTTAATTCGATTTTTTTTCTTGTCATTTTCTTTTACTTTTCCGGATCATGATTTAGATTTGGAATTCTAAGGTCTTCTGGCATCGATGGTGAGAGTTCTACGACTGTGATCCTATTATGAGGGTGCTGTTGTCAATCTAGCAAATCTGAATTTAACAAGACCCGTATCCCTAAAGTGTAGGGTCAGTTTTCACTTTTTGTTACTCATTAAGTAGATTTGTTCGTAGCATTTTTCAAGATATTCAGTTTAAACTTTTCCTGTTAGGGAGCTCTTTAGTTTTATTTCATCCTTGTAATCAGTCATGGAGAGTGAGAGACGAGAGAGAGAGAGAAAGAGAAGGAAAGGGAGATACGATTGAGAGAAAAAGAATAGAAATTACAAGTATGCCCTGGCGGCACACCCTAGAAACAAATTAATAAGAAAAAAGGGAAAGGAAAAATAACTAACTCACAATATCTTAAGAGGACAACCTACTAATAGCAACTATAAAGTAACATTTAAATAAGCCTTACAACACTCCCCCTCAAGTTGGGCTGAATTTGTCTATCATGCCAAGCTTGTCACATAATTCATTGTGCCACAAGTATGGAAGCCCTTTTGTGAGGACATCAGCAAGTTGTTCCTTGGAGTTGACATAAGGGATGCAAATTTCTCTTTTTTCCAATTTTCCCTTATGAAGTATTTGTCCACCTCAATGTGCTTGGTCCTCTCATGTAGGACAGGGTTGCTAGCGATGTTTATTGCTGCCTTGTTGTCACAGTAAAGAGACATAGGATTATGAACAACAACTCCAAGCTTCCCTAGAAGATTCTTTAGCCAAAGGACTTCAACCACCCCATGTGCCATAGCTCTATATTCAGCTTCAGCGCTTGACCTTGTTACCACACTTTGTTTCTTGCTTTTCCAGGTCACTAGGTTTCCTCCTACAAATGTGCAATACCCACTTGTGGACTTTCTGTCATCCACAACACCTGCTCAATCAACATCTGTAAAGACATCCACCTTTAGGTGATTATGCTTACTGAATAGTAGACCTGTTCCGGGATATTTTTTCAAGTATCTAAAAACTCTTTGCTGCCTTCATGTGTGGTTTCTTAGGAGAGTGCATGAATTGGCTTAGAACCCCAACTGAATAGGCAATGTCTGGATGGATCATGGACAAATAAATCAGCTTTCCCACTAACCTTTGGAACTGTTTCACATCTTTCAGAGGTTCACCATCACAGTCACCCAACTTGTGGTCAACATCTATGGGAGTATCTACTGGCCTTGCACCTAATTTGCCTGTGTCCTATAATAGATCAATGGTGTATTTCCTTTGAGAGGTAAAGATACCCTTTTCTGAGCGGGCGACTTCAATCCCAAGGAAATACTTTAGGGGACCTAGATCTTTCACTTCAAATTTAGATGCAAGGAATTGTTTCAATTTTTGTATTTCTGAACTCCAACTTCCTGTAATGATGATATCATCCACATACACTATCAATACAACAACCTGTTCATGACATCTCTTCACAAAGAGTGTATGATCAGACTGACATTGTTTGAAGCCCATTTGCTGAACTGCCATGTGAAACTTACTGAACCAAGCTCTGGGAGATTGTTTTTAGCCATAAAGAGACTTTCGCAGTTTGCACACCTTATTTTCACTTCCCTTGGCATAGAATCCAGGGGGTTGAACCATGTATACTTCCTCCTCTAAGTCACCATTTAGAAAAGCATTCTTTATGTCCAGTTGATGCAATTCCCAATAAAGATTAGCAACTAATGACAGGAGAACCCTAATTGAGTTCATCTTAGCTACTGGAGCAAAAGTCTCATCATAGTCAACCCCATACACTTGTGTGTACCCTTTGGCTACTAATCTTGCTTTGTACCTTTCAACAGTTCCGTATGCTTTGTGTTTAACCATAAACACTCATTTACACCCCACGGGGTCTTTCCCCTTTGGAAGATCCACCAATTCCCAAGTTTGATTTTTGTGAAGAGCATTAATCTCCTCCTTCATGGCATCTGTCCATTCGGGGCATTTTAAGGCTTTTGCAATGTTTCTGGAAACGGGGATGCAATCAACTACAGATAGGAAGGCTTAATATGAAGGGGAAATGTGATCATAGGAGACAAAATGGGTAATGGTGTGTTTGGTAGTGCATGATCTGACTCCCTTTCGTTGAGCAATAGGAATGTCAAGGTCATCCATAGTAGGAGTGGGGGTATCAGTAGGTGCAACAGGGATTGGACTTACCTCCTGGGAGTCTTAACGGTGTCGGTTGCTCAATGTTTGACTGCTCCACATCTCTATCACATTTTTTATCTCTACGGCGTGTACGTTGGAAGACACGGAAGGGAGCAAGGTCCGGAATAGAAGGAAGAGATACTTGGTGGACCTGAACCTACTTCTCCTCTTCCACACTACTACTCTCCCCCTGAGGAGAAGCAGGGAAGAATGGGTCAGACTCAAAGAAGGACACATCCATAGACACAAAAAACTTATAACTAACAGGATCAAAGCACCGATACCCTTTTTGAGAGGAAGGATACCCCAGAAAGATACAAGGAATGGACCGAGGGTCTAACTTACCTCGAGATGGAGACAAATCATGGACAAAGGCACGACAACCAAAGACTCTCATGGGAATGGAAAATAAAGGGGACTAAGGGTACAATAACTGATAAGGGGCCATGTAGTTCAACATTTTGGAGGGCATGCGATTGATGACATAAGCAGCTGCAAGTATAACATCCACCCAAAACCTTTTTGGAATATTCATGTGTAACATCATCCCACGAGCTACCTCAAGGAGGTGTCTGCTTTTTCTTTCTACAACACCATTTTGTTGTGGTGTTCTGGCGCATGAGCTCCTATGAATAGATCCGTGGGAGACAAAGAACTCATTGAGCTACCTCAAGGAGTTCTTTGTGGGGTATCCTTCCTCTCAAAGAAGGACCTGGTCTTCATGTGTAACATCATCCCACGAGCTACCTCAAGGAGGTGTCTGTTTTTTCTTTCTGCAACACCATTTTGTTGTGGTGTTCTGGTGCATGAGCTCCTATGAATAGATCCGTGGGAGACAAAGAACTCATTGAGCTCACCATGGAAGTATTCTTTTGCATTGTTGGAGTGGAAGATCTGTATTTCAACATGGAACTACGTAAATATCATCCTTTGGAAGTCTTTCACAATCTTTGGAACTTCGTCTCTACTACGCATAGGAAATACCCATGTATAGCGAGAGTAATCATTGATCAATGTGATAAAGTACTTATATCCACCCTCAGAGATTATATTAGTAGGCCCCCATACATCAGAATACACAACATGAAAAGGAACACTTGATCTTTTATTAYTTGAGTGAAAAGTTGTTCTACATTGTTTGCTCAACTGACACGTTTGACACTGGAACTCTGACACTGAACATGACTTAAATAAAATCGGAAACAAAGACTTTACTATTTCAAAAGAAACATGACCTAAACGACTATGCCACAAAAAAAAATTGACTCTTATTTGACTGACTATGTGACTCTGAGGATGACATCGAGAGACCAACTTTGTTGTCAAGAATGTAGAGACCATCCACTAGGCTCCCTCTACCAATCGACCTCCCAGAAGTTAGGTCCTGAAAAACACATGAGCCAGGAAAAATGGTTACACTATAGTTTAAAGAGCTTGTGATACTACTAATTGAAAGCAAATTTATAGGAAGTTGAGGGACATGCAATACACAATTCAGGTTAAGGCCATGGGGAAGAGATATTGATCCTTGGCCTGCAATGGAGGAAAACGAGCCATCTGCAAGTCTCACTCTATCCCTTCTTGACAAAAGGCTATAAGTCTGAAACAAGTTTGGCTTACCGGTCATGTGGTTGGAGGCTCCTGAGTTAATGATCCAAGGGGAACTCGTGGGAGTGACTTGGAATGCAGAAGTCGTATTACCTGAAGTAGAGAGAGTACCAGTGACTGAGCTATCCATTTGTCACAAAGCCCTACCATAAGACTCTAGGTGTTCTCTGAAGTAATTCATTATATCTTCCTTGGGGTCAGAATTATTAAGGTGGTCCCGGGTAGTACCGGAAACCTGAGTATCTTGGGTTGCCACATGTGCTGCATTCTGTGTTGTGTTCATCTTCTTCTGACCTTGACCTTTACCCTGTTCTTGGTTATTCACTACCCACTTGGGTTTCCCGTGGATGTCCCAACATGTGTCACGTGTATGCCGTGAACGCCGACAGTGGGTACAAAACAACTTGTCTTTATCATCAGTCTTCTTAGTGTCACTTTTCTTCCCCGTGGAGTTATTATTCATCGCAGCCAAAGCAACTTGTTGCTCCCCCTCAGTTGTAACCATCACACTCCGCCTAATTTCTTTTGATTGAACAAGGGAGTATACCTCGTGAACCGACGACAACTCTTTGCTTCCTAGGATCTGAACCCTCAAAGGTTCATAGGCAGGGTTCAGTCCCAACAAGAAGGCAAACACACGTTGCTAAGAGACCAGCTTCCTGTAGGCCTTAGCATCATCATCATGTTTCCACTCTATAGCCTAATAATGATCAAATTCTTTCCATATGGAGGTAAGGGCTGAATAATATGAAGACAAACTACGGTTTCCCTGTTTACAGGTTGAAGATTCAGCTTGTAACTGGTAAACCTTGGCATAATGCCTTTGCTCAGAATAGGTAGTTTTGGTCTGTTCCTAGATCTCACTAGCGGTGTCTGCCCACATAAAGTTCTTCTTCACATCAGGTTTTATGGCTGCAAGGAGCCAAGACATCACCATACTATTTTCTTGGTCCCACCTATCATGTTCAGTTGTCTCACCCTTGGGTTCTTTCACCCTTCCATTTATGTAATCAGCTTTTCCCCTTGCCGTTACATAGAGTTTTAGACTTTTAGCCCACTCCAGGTAGTTTAGACCATTTAAAGGGGTAATTGGCATGGGAAACATCATGTTTTCACCTCCCATACCAGCTATGCTGCGGGTCGGTGTAACCCCCGATGAAGTTGATTCATAATTTGCCATAGAATACTGTTGAAAACAGTCAAAATCCCACACAACTACACAACAGCCACAAGCAGAATACCAACCCTCAAGAAATTTACTTCTAGGATGTGAGGAAGAAAACAAGAAACTGTTGAAATCAACTCTGTGATGGTTCAGTCATTAA